TGTTGTCATATGTTGCCATGCTATCTTTCTTCTACCTGAGACATTTGTGCTTGGTTTATAACTTTAAGAGCATCAAATAGCATGTTTAGAACTGATAGGCCATGTATATGTGTGAACTGAACCTTTCCATCTGCCCTTGACAGCTTGCATTCTCTTTCATGCTATATTTGCAATTCATGAACCATTTTCAATTTTATTGATTTGTGACTGAGCCCTAATTATGTAATCCATCTGTTATCATGTGTATGACTTGTGTGTAATGTCTATTGGATGTACATGAACTCAGAACTGGTGTTGATTTCCATTATGCAACTCATTGACCTCAATGCATTTTCATTCGTGTTTTTATTGGAGGCTTCATCTCACAATTTGGTTGTTACCATCATTATCCTTGTTAAAAAAACAATCATGTTAGGCTCAAATTTTGTTAAATTTGGAGTTGTTTTGATCGAGTTTGGATCCTTCACGTATTTGGTTTGGTTGGCTTGATTTTGCCCAGGATTTCATCATATTTAGGTTTATCTATTTATGGGGGTGGCTAAATACTTGGATGTATAGCCACCCCAGTGGTAGACAACTTGCGCGCTTTGTAACCTTTGACATGCCTGACCTGAGTTCGATCCTTGGTGATCAACTCTTTTGGCTCTTTATTTTTCAATTGTCATGTTTATCATTTTCTTCTCTCTTGCCATTCCATTCATGCGCGCGCTTTGTGCCCCAGTGGTTGGTGTTGTGTTTGTAAACACAAGGGCATGAGTTCAATCCCTTCCCATGCCACTTCTTTTTACTCACTTGTTTATTTTATTTTCATAAAATCATTGAAAAATCAAATATCATAACTTGTTCATTTTTCATTATTTTTAATCCGTTCTTTTTGCAAGTTGCTCATTGTAATGTCAATTTTCATTTAATGGATTAATATCTCAAATTGCTTGTATTTATAATTCCTTTTGGCCTGCTTGTTAGTTGGTTCGTTCTTAGGTCGTTACCTTGTGTCGTGATTGAATTTTCTTTATATCATGCTCGATTTATCTTGTAAGATTTATTTGTATGTGTTTCCCATGTATTAGTTAACATGTTAGGTTTACCTTCCTTTGGTTGTCACCATAAATTTGTCATTCTCTACTTAAAATCATGCTTGTATTGTCGTGAATATTTATTACATATTTGATTGTCATCGATGCCTAATGTTATTACATTTGAATTTATAACATGATTATTTTAATTTGTGACCTATTTGTATGATTGTTGTTTTCATATTTTTTAATATGTCTCTTAGGTTGTTACCTTCATCTTTGTTAAGATATATGATTCTTGGTTGAAACCGTTTGTATCCATTTAATCCTTGCTTATTGTGATATGCATGCTTGCTTGGTTGTAACCATATCCTTTATTTTTCTCATTGCTTAATTGTTTATTGCTTTGTTAAGTATTTCTCCCCCAAGTGATGGAACTTTTTAGTTCTCATCCAAGTTGCCTCCTCTCTCTCCTTCCAAAGGAAAAGTCTCTCCATTGACCCTTATGTCATGGATAGTTCATTACCCGCTCCCTTGACTTTGTGAAGTCATCTTGACCCTTAGTATAAGCCATTAGACTTTGCCTTAAGTCTAAAAAAACCTACCTTTGCTAGGAGTGTTCTTCAACTAGAACCTTAGGATAGAGTTTGTAAACTCTATGTAAGAATCATAGTAATGATTACTTACTCCCCTCTTGAGTGTTTCAACATAGATCTAGAGAGTTTTGTTAAACTCTATGCAAACATTGTTATGTTTGTTCCCCTTTGAACCTTGATCATAATCAAGTGTTCTTCGACCCTAGTGAGGTGAACTACGATTGCTCTGATTCTATCCTAGTTAGGATGCGTAGACAGAAGACGCGATGTCTTTGCGAGCAAGCTTAGAAACTATCTTTAGGTCTTAACCTTCACCTTTTACCCAACTCAAACCTTAGCAAACATTTACGAACTTAGCGTGCAAACAAACAAAAGGTTCCTGTAGAGTACTACAGATGTTTAGGATGTGAAATACCTACCCTATGCATAACCAACCCCCGATCCCCGAATCTCTTAGCGTTGTTGTTACATCGCGCAAAAGGGTTTTTCTTTCTTTAGACCTTTCCTTTGGATAAATTAAATTCCGATTATGAATTTAAGAATTAAAGATTCAAGTTAATCAATAGCTTGGTATCACGATTCTCACCGCAACACCCTCCATCAAAAAGACTTAAACATAAATTTAGGTATCTCTAACATGTTATGATGCTTTTAACAAAGTGAGACATTGAATTCCAAAAACATAATGGTTTGGTATCATTTCCAAATATCTATTGTGGGTGTAAGGGTGTTAACAACATAATATTATGACCCTAATTGCATGATACATAACAACAAAGATTTATCATTATTATGAAGTGACTGTTCATTTAAGTTTTTCTAAAATGGTTTTTTTAGTTTTAAACATTTTTTTCGAAAAAATTTACAAATATATTTTTTTAAAACTCATAAAAAAATCTATTTAAACATATTTTTTTTAAAACATATTATTTTAGGTATTTCATCATTTTAATATAATACTTTTGGATATTGAAATATTAAAATAACACTTAAATTTAAAGTTATTTTGAATAATTTTTAAATTTTTTTTTGAATATATATATATATATATATATATATATATATATATATATATATATATATATATATATATATATATATATATATATATATATATATATATATATATATATATATATATATATATATATTTGAAATATTATATGATTTTAACTATGTTTTATACTTTAATAATTTTAGTTGGTAAAAGTACAATACGTGACATTCTATTATCATGTAATATTGGCAAGTATTTTTCACGAAATTTGTGGAATAATGAGCAAAAGTCAAGCAAATATGTAGAAGAATTGAACAAAGTTGAAAAAGAGTGAGAATATTGGACTTAGTGAAAATTTGAAGAAAAAGAAAGCAAAAAGCAAATTTTGCCACTAGTTTTCTCGCGACCGCAATGCTTTCATCGTGTATGTGATGAAGCAATATCTCAATCGCAAATCTTCCCAATGCGGTCGTGATGAAGCGAATTTCTAACACACTTTTGCAGCTTTAAATAGAAAAAATGGAAAAACCTTTTTTAGGACTCCGGATTTTAGATAGAAAGTGATGGCCAATGCGCTTTTGTGGGCAGTTTTGGAGAGCATATTTTCTATTGATTTGTATTAATTCTTCTTAGCAAATCATGGTAATTGATAATTGCACTATGTGCATTTAAGTTATTTTAGATTAGGTCTTTTTGAGACGAACCTAATTGTACTATGTTAGATCATATAAGTGTTTGAGATTTTTTTTATTTGTTTTATGTGATGATTATTATTCAATTGATCTTATGTTCATTGCTCTTTTCATGTTGATGAGGGTGAAAAGTGATTTCTAGATGAGTAGGAATTATTGATCGTAAGTCTGCCGATCTAAAATAAGACAATTGTACAACTTAGTAATTAACTAGGAATATGTGATTATAAGTTGTGGCTTCAAGATTAACAATCTTTGAATGCCTAGTTTAACTCTGAATTGGCTTAAGGAATTGGGGAATTATTGTTTAAATTAGTGAGTTGCACACCAAGGAACTGAATGCAGTAGTTGTGTTAATTTGTCATGTAATTATCACGTAATTGTTAATCATTTGATACACATTTCATCAACATGTATAATTAGGGGATTCGATATAAAGACATAATCGCTTTTCATTATTAATCTTTACTCTGAAAGTTTTCTCGTCTTGTTTTCGCACCAAATCATAATTAAAAAACTCCCCATTGTTTATTTATATTCGCATTAATATATCCTTGTTTTAATTTCCAATCCTCGTGGAGATGAATTATTTTATTACTTTGATGAGACTGATACACTTGCTAGTTTTTGTCCATCATTGTGTAGGGTTGTTAGAGATTTTTATGGTTGTTATGATGTTAGAGCAAGCTCTGCAAGGATGGTGAAAAAATTTGTATATGGTGTTCTCAGAGTTAACTGAATATCCTCCTTAACCTTAAGTTGAGGTATTTATAGGAACTTATAGGGCCCGAGTCTTAGGCTCGAACAAAATAGTAACAACACTCTCCTCTCTTCGGAGTGTGGGAAATAGGTAGTAATTTCCTCTATTATACGAGAGAATGTGGCTTCCCCTTTTGACTTCCTCTCCTATACTACTATAGACAGGGAGACATTACTCCCATTGTTTCCATAAATGGGCAGGTTTTCAATCAACAAACAATCATTACAAACAATGGGTGGATGCTGAAATAAATGGGTGACCAAAAAGCAGGCACGAATGATATATATAAATTGCATGTCCTTAGAGAACCCCTATGTTTCCTCTTATGGATAATTTTTTATGATATCAGTATAATAATATATGCATATATATATATATATATATATATATATATATATATATATATATATATATATATATATATATATATATATATATATATATATATATATATATATATATATATATATATATATATATATATATATATATATATATATATATATATATATATATATATATATATATATATATATATATATATATATATATATATATATATATATATATATATATATATATATATATATATATATATATATATATATATATATATATATATATATATATATATATATATATATATATATATATATATATATTTGTATTGATATATCTCAAATTTTATCTTTTAATTTTTAAAAAATGAGGCACCCCTCCATCAAAAGGACTTAAATTTGTGGTAAAATATATACACCCGAGAAAAAGGATCAGACTAAATTCTCTCGATAAATGAAGATTTAATTATCAAAAGCTATTTTTTATTTTTTAAATTTTGTTTTATAAAAAAAAACTTGTTTGCAATACATCTTTTTAACAACTGTTTTCCAAAAGAGAGTTGAGAGAATTAGTTAGATAAAAGAAGGGAAGGTTTTTCGAATGGAGCCCTTTATTTTTGCGGCTTCCACACCACCGCTGTCGGTCAAGCCACTGGATGGATGTGCATCTAGGCCTCCTAGATCATCTTTCTGGGATATTCTCACTAAAGGTAAAGGAGCCACTTATATGAAGGAGAGAGTGTACTTGATTAAAAAGGGACTTATGATAGTTTCTCTGGAAGGAGGAAACAAATTGCTACCAAAGGTCACGATAAATGAGAAGCTTTTTCAAGAACTATACAATCTTAGGAAGGAGGCATTATTCATTAAACTTATTGAGAAGAACATGGGATATCATTTGATGAAGGATAGGTTGAAGAATATGTGAAAACTTATCAGAGGTTTTGAGATCATGGACGTTGATAATGATTTCTTTATGGTCAAGTGTGAACTGCTCACTGATAAGGATAAATTTGTGTCTGAAGGCTTGTGGATGTTGTTTGACCATTATTTGGTAGTGGCTCAATGGACTCTATACTTTGCATCTCCCCTCGCAAAAGTCGAGAAGACTCTGGTTTGGATTCATTTTTCAGAGTTTAACTTATTGTATCATAATGAAAGTTTCCTTCTTGATTTGGCATCTGTTGTGGATACTCCTGTAAAGGTAGATACTAACACCCTGAATATAAAGAGGGGAAGGTTTGCGAGAATTTATATGGAGATTGATTTGACCTTCCATGTTGTCGAAAAGTTCAATGTTAATGGTCATTGGTACAATGTGATGTATGAAAGTCTTCACATTATTTTCTCTAGTTATGGCTATTATAGACATCAAACCATGATTTTAAGAAAACACAAGATAATATGATGGATTCGTTCATTCCTACAGTGTAAAACCTAAAGGCCCGCCAGAAAACTATGTTGTCCATGAGCAAAGACTAATGGAATTGCATCAAAAAGTAGGTGATGATAGCACTAAGATTATAGCAAAAGAATATAGAAAAAAAAATATAGTTTATGGTGATTGGACGGTGGTGGAGAGGAAAAAATGCAACAAAGTTATGGTCAAGGTAAATCTTTATCTAATAATGTGTCTAGAGATCAGGGGAGTTTTAAAATCAAGGGGATTGATGCTTTTTTTAAAAGGAAGAAGCATTGGAAACAAAACTACTAGATCAAGTAAACTTCATGCGATTTCCAAGTAATTACAATTTGATAAGAGTGGACCCACCCCAGACGCTTCTCAGCCATATGCAGATGAAACCCACGTGCCAAGGCCAAGTCTGTCATTTTGGAACCACATATTTCTCTTGGTGGTCCCTTGCAAAAAATTGGCCAAATTTTAATTCCTGCCCAACACAAATGGGTGTTCCTAGTACTACTAAATACACCTCCATTGTTCCCGTAGTAAATTTAGGTTTGGAGACCATCACACGATACAACATTCTGCATTTTAAACTGATAGCAAGTCAGAAATATTGAAATAACCAATGTGATATGGATGAGCGTGCTACTGAAGAAGAGGTAATTGTTTGCTAAACTCCCATAGGATTTAGCTACATAAGTTATCTCATGCCCAGGACTTACTTTGTCACCTCCATCAACTTGACTAGTTATTTTAGGTTTCAAAGAAATCGCTGTGCTCTCCTAGAATATTTGGAGAGCCTAAAAAATAAGGCTAAAAGACACGTGATGGAATTGATTAGAAAACACTCTCCAACATTTCTAATCGTTATGGAAATACACATTGGTTCTCATAGGAACAAATATTTTTGAGATAGAGATGGATATGTGAGTGTTCACTACATGGACGCACGTGGTCAATCTGGGGGAGTTTGGGTTTTAAAGGATAATGGCAGTAAAATTGTAATTATCTTTCATGATGTGTTTATTCTCAAGGACGATGAAGACGTTGTTAAACATCCAAAATATTGGATGGATGATGAAATAAAAAGGCTTTATATGATTTAAAAGCTAGGAACATACTTAACTCCGATTTACACGCAAATATATTCTACTAAATTTCACACCATGCGAGTGCTAAAGGCATGTGGGATGCTCTCCAAACTCTCTATGAGGGAACGAATGATGTCAAGGATTATAAGATCAATATGTTTATCAAGGAGTTCAAACTATTTCATATGGAACCTAGAGAATCTGCGAATTCTATGAAAAGTAGATTCTCCACTTAATCAATAAACTAAGCAACTTGGATAAAACCTATTCTAACAAAGATTGTGCTAAAAAAGTATTTAGATCTATGTGAAAGAAGTGGAAACGAAAGGTTAACACTTAAAAGAATATAATGATATTAACATTTTGGATATTACAAAGTTGTTTGGGAAGTTAGCTGAGCATGAAAGTGAAGTGAAACAACTCACTGATAGCGAAGTAAAGTTGAAAAATAAAGAGAAAGGGAAAAAAGAGAAAAAAAAATATTTCAAAGAAATATTTGTCATCAAAAGTGAAGAAGTCAAAGGAAGAAAGTGATAAATTCGAAGAAGAAGCTCCTAAATAAGAAGAGATGGATTTATTTGTCAGATGCTACAATAGATACTTAAGGAGAAATAAGCTCAAGCATTCTGACAAAGGTTTAATAAATTTTAAAAATACCCACCCTCCTAAAAGAGAACACGAGAAAAAAGATGATGGCATTACGTGTTACTAGTGTGGAAAATTAGAACATTTTAGAACCACTTGTCAAGTCTAACAAAACATCATAAAAATAAAGATAAGGAATTCTACAAGAAGAAAGGAAAAATATCCAAATATTGTAGAGCCTATATCGTGTAGGAAGAAGAGTATGAGAGATCCTCCTTTGATTCTTGCTCAAAATTAGATGAAGCGCTTCATCTTCCAATTTTCTTATTTTTGTGACCTTTGTGATCCCTAAGGGTATTTTAGGTATTTTCTTATTACTGTGTTAGACCTGGAAGTATTTAAGACAGGTTTTGAGAAGAAAAAAATGACTTTTTGGCTAGAGAAGAATTACATGATCAAGATTGGAGAGATCAAGGTGATTGGGAAACTAAAGGTTTTCATGAGCGGAAGCAATTGAAGATCAAATAAACCTATTATCTTGTAATGTCTAGTTTTTACTTTGTATTTTCTTCGAATAATATGAGTAGCTAAACCCCTCAATGCTAGGGGGTGTCCCTGATTTGAACTTGTAATGACTCTGATATTAGTATTGCAATAACATTTTCTTTTTTTTCGTAACTGGTTTGATCTCTAGATATTCTTAATGCTTGCCCTGTCGGACCAACAGGGTTTGATTTTCGATTAACGATTAGGTTGGACCGTCATTGTTAAGGCTTTGCACTTGATCATTTTGTAGTAGATACCAACTAGGACTAGGGATACCCTATAGGAACTAGAATATTCTTGATAATTGATTTCTTAATTTCATTTATAATTCTCTATGGACATAGGAATTAGAGTGCATGATTAAAGTTTTTCTCACTAAGGACTTAGGAGTAAACATTCTAAAGGATCGGTAATTAGTTAGTTACAATAAGTTGTTGCAGTGTTAATTCATAGTTGTTACTGAGTTGTATCATACACTTCCCCTAGCATGTTACTCATATATTTTAAAACCACTTAGTCAATTTCCCTCTTTTACTTGCAAATATTTTTATAATCAAACCAAACAATTTTAAAACCCCAAGTGCTTTTGTTCAACTGAATTATTATAGAGATTTATTTCCTACGTAGTCCTCGAGATCGATATTCATGGAAATTCCCTTTTATTACTACATTGGCAAAACATTACACTGATGGCTTCGAGAATCTGGTCGATCCTTCCTTTGAGGGAGTCTAAATCCTCTCTGAAGGGGGCATGCTCTTGTTGAATTTGTTCCATCATGCGTCTAGTATTAGCTCGAGTTGCGTATTGGTATCGGGAATCAACTTGATTTACTAGAGAGGAAGGAAGAAGAAATGAGTCTCTGCTATTGAAATGAAATGCAAGATGCACAACTAATGCAATGTGATGATATGTATGCATGATACAATGTCAGATGCAAGATCCAGGATCACACGTTTGATTAATTCTAAGGTTGGTTACTGTAACAGGTAAATAACCAAAGTTTCTGATTAAAGAAACCTCATAGGTAGGCTCTATATGGGAAAATCTAGATTCTTTACCCATAAACCCACTCTCGGGATGGTTTCTATGTTGATGGATAAGGTTCCCAGAATCACAGACACTAATCACATCAATGTAAGGCAACATTCCAGCTTTATTACAATGATAATAACGACAAGGTCTCTCCTGAGCCGGGTCCCCATGTTAGGAACACAAGGAGCGAGTCCTTAGAGACTAACACTATACGACTGCCAATATAGAACCAGTGCTAAAAGGTTTCCAGAATCACAAACCCTTCATGAATCAAGTCATGCAACAGGCTAGCTATGTTACAACAATATCTACGAATAGGTCTCCTCTAAGGGAGCTTTCATGCTAGGCACACAAGGAGCGAGTCCTTGGGGACTAACACTACTCAACTTCTAATTCTAACTTATGTGTTCCCTCTATTTTTACCAAAGCTCGGGCGTAGAGCCTTACTCATGATATTATCCCAAAATCCAATAGGCAAGGATAATAACAAACATATAAAAGCCATAAGAGACCAAGTACATAAACAAGAAGAAAACAAGCAAACAAAGATAACGCTCTTCGTAAATAGCTCTAAGATAGGCTTGACTCTACTTGCATGGAGCAATAATCACCAGCAGAGTCTCCAGCTGTTGCACCATGAAAAATAAAAAGAATCGAGAAATACGACTCTCGCACGAAAGGCATGGAAGGACAAAGTCGTCACCGAACTTTATTCATCCCAAAAAGAGGGAAAAGGAAATATCGAGAAAATCTTTTGAAGATAGATAAGAACATGGTTGTCGCAACCACATTCTGGGTTCGAGAGTCGGTTACATAAGGGGAAGGTATTAGCCCCCCTCACGTCCGTTGTACTCAACGAGAACCTCTTAATTCGAATTGTGATGAGCGTTAGCTAAGCTTATTTGTTTTCTTCTCAACGATAAATGCAAAACGGTAAGATAAAAGGAATCAAATACTAAGGGAAAAATGGTGGTTTTAGGATAGGGTGTTCGCCAAGGATTGGGGCCCTTGTGCCTACGTATGCTCATTCGAACGAGAATGAGAAATTAGAGCTTTCGTAGTTCGACTACAGGAAAGGTTTGGAAAAGGGGAAGGGGGAAATGGAAGATGGATAGAAGGTAGACACAAACAGATGGAAAAAGAAAAGGTAGCTCGCCAATATCATCGCAATCTTGTGCCTACGTATCTACATTCGGACGAGAATAAAGAATCAGAGCATTCATAGTTTGTTTGGAAACGAAAGAGAGGGGTTGAATTTGTTGAAGTTG